TTGAAATATGTTTCAAATTGATATGCCCAAGCTTTTTGTTCCAAATTCATTTTTCATCTTCTCTGAACACTAGATATGTTACATTCTGTTTGCTTAAACTAGTCATATTAATCTCATAGAGACTATTGTTCCTCTGAGTAGTAAAAACCATAGATCCATTGTCTTGCTTAACTATGCATGCATCTTTGTTAAAGACTATAGTCTAACTAGTATAACAAAATTGGCTTATGCTAAGTAGGTTATACTTTAAACCTTCAACATACAAAATATTATTTATAATAGGTATGAAGGAAACCGATTCTTCATGTGGTTGGAGGTCTAGGAACATATACCTTTCTCAAGTCATGTGTTGTGAGTAGGCATTGTCCAAGTACTAGTGTGAATCCTTCATTCTTCCCGTTAAGGATATTTGTAATAGAGATTAATTGAGATTTTGGTATTCAGATTTTATTGGGTCCTTTCTTGTTAGCTTTCATTCCTTTGATCTTACTTTTTTGATTGCCTAGATTTTTACCTCCATTTACATTGTCTTTATGAAAGGAATCCTAAGGTTTGGCTTGAGAGGTCCCTAATCCAAGTTCAAAGTTAAGATCACTTTTGTCAAACAGAAGTCTTTTATGCTTCAAAAGCATGTTCAACTTAGAAAATCTGCCAAAAAGCTTGGCTAAGCCCTTCATGAGTTATAGGTTTTCAACCTCCAATGTTTAGGACAAATTTGGTGATCTTGTCCTTAAGAGACTATCGTTCGTACTACGTCTGACATGTTTTGCCTTAATTCAAGATTTTCTTTTTCAAGAATCTTTTATTTTTCTTTTAATTTCTTGTACTCGAGGGAGATCATGTGAGAGTTAGCCAAGAGAATATAATAAGATATCTCATCATCATCTAATTTATAAAAATAAGAGTTTTGAGTCAGTTTTTACCTCTATTTTAGTAGCATCTAACTTAGCACCTACCATAAGCCTTAAGGCATCCTAATTTTTCTTGGTCATTGAGTAACTGTAGAACTTTGTTATACTCTGTTATGGACAAAGAGAAAGCAAGGATGTATCTTGCTTTGGTGTTAAGTTGCAATATGTTGTAGTCATCCTAAGTGTACTCACTCTCTGAGTTGGTAATAACAACATCACCTTGAGTGATTATACTCCATAGGTCATATTGGGTGGATTTGAAGAACATTTCTATTTCATACTTCCAATTCAGGTAGTCCTTTTCATTAAAGGCATGAAGCTTTATGAAAAAGGCTTCTTCTGGTAGGTAATATCCTTCACTACTTACCATAGTGAATCTTTTCCCTTTGGCATGATTAGATTCTCAACCTCGTCAAAATATGAGCTCTGGTACTAAACTATGGAGAAAAGATAAACATTAGAAAGGGGGTTAAATAGTGTATATAAAAAAATTTTACTTTTTATGTAGTGAAGTAGTATCACTAATCAGATGGAGTGCGAAGAGAAGTCAAACAGAACATTGGTTATTTTTATATTGGTTTATTTCAACAACTAAGACTACATCTAGTCATCAATCCAACCAGATTAAGTTTCATTATCTTTCAACAAAGATAAAAGCATTCTTTCAACAAGTCACTTTTGGCTCAACGCTAAATATTCTTTGAATTGCCTCTTCAAACAACTACCCAAGTATTATTTTCACAACAAGCCTCTCCAAACTTAGCAACCAAGTATTCTTTTATGGTCAAGTCTCTCTAGGCTCAAAAAGCAAGTATTATCTTGCAATCAAGCCTCTCAAGACACAAAACACGTATTCTTTTATAGACAAGCCTTTATAGGCTCAAAACAAGTATTATTTTACAGAGAAGCTTCTTCAGGCTCAAAACAAGTATTCTTTTATAAACAAGCCTCTCTAGGCTTAACTTTATAACAAAGGTTATGGAGGTTACACAAATATTGTGTTCGTCTCACTTAGATGTTATACAACCAATGTAGACTAATAAGCTTTCACAAGAAATAATAAGGATTATACACAAGTATAATTTATAAAGTGTAAGTTTTTATACAAGTTTATTTTGTATGTTGTTTATCTTTTTATACCATATCTCTTGTGCAATTATTTCTTGAGTTTCAAATCTTCTTATATAGTAGCTTGGAGAAGATAATTGTTATAACACTTGAAGTCTAACTCATAAGTTTGTTTTATTTGTCTTCATCAACTTTGTTTACGATGTCAAGTAATCGTTGACTAATTTAATGTAAGCGTTAAATGCATTTCACCAAATGGTACCTTTTATTTGATTAAGGAAGCCACTTATCATCTTTCCATACCAAATGGAGCTTGCAAAAGCAATTTCATCATAGTGCAGTTACAGTAGTGACTTTATCTACTTTTCTCCGTGATTTTAGGGATCTTCATCCTTGGTCATAATGGAAAGCATAATCCTTTTCTCTTTAATAGATTTGTCAGTTTCAAGATGGATTTATAGTTTGGTCTATTAAGGAATGAAGCGTTCAAAAAAAATTTTGTCATTAGTCGCAACAAATAATGAACATTTCATGTATATGAATAGACTATGTGTTTCATCTAATTCACATCGGCAGACGATCTGTGTCTTACACTTTGTGTAATAAAACATTTTTCAAAGACATTTTCTCTTGTAAAAATATTTTGTTTCTTATCATTAAATCTTTAAAACTTAAGGGATCCAAAATTATTTTTTGACTTAACAAGTTTGTATTCATATTTGATTTATAGGTTGATAACATTGCATTTGCAGCAATATATTATTTTGAAATATTCAAATTTTAAAATAAAAAAATAATTATGTTGATCTGATTGAACCAACCAAATTCAACTTATTCATGGTCGGGCTGGGTTGAGTTAGATTAAAAAAACAAAACAAAAATCTAACCATTGAATTTTGATCATGTTAAGTAACGAATCCGTCCACACTCGACCTAACCAAACTCACTTAAACCCTTAATGTTAGCAACACATTAGGCTTTGAGCGATACATAAAATATTCACCACTGGTCCAACTAAAATTGGATTTTAGTAGTTTAATATGGTGTTAGGTGATGCATAAAATACTAACCATTAGTTTAATTGAAATGAGATTTCATCGATTTAATTTGGTGTTAGGCTGATATTATGACATCATAATTGGGCTTGTAAGTTGTAGCATATATGATCTTATTATGGACTCAACATAGTCACAAGTCCAATTCCTAATCAGATCGGTCCAACTGGCCTATTTGAGCAAGGTTTGATAACATTTTTTCTTATCAAAGGATTCAAACTACTCAAATTGTGAGTACAAAACCAAATATTATTTACCTTTTCAAGCTTACAAACTACTAGACTCAACATGAGATGGATTTCACCAAGTATTCTATTAAAAGGAAAAGGTTCAATGATTACAAAAGTTTAAATCATGAGGATGGTAATATGGAAATTATTAATATTTTGGTCACTCAACAATCAACTAAACACTAGGTACTAATTGATTTACAAAGATCATCTAGTGAGATTATCCACACAAAAACTTTGAGTTTTCTTTTGATAGTTTTCTCAAAAAGACTATAATTTCACGTACATCAACCATCTTCAACATTGTAAAAGGTATTTTATATATAGCCTTGAGAAGGTGAACGTTAGGAGACATGACAGAGAGCAAAGCCTTCACAACAAGCACTATTGTACATGTCTTAGACAAATGTATAATAGGTCCTTGTTATCTTGTGCTAGTGGAAGTTAGAAAGTTATTACAATTGTCACGATAGGTGCACGTTTGTGCCATATTCCTTTTTGGATAAGCAAACACTAATGTTTTTTGTATCATTGTCATTCACACTTATGCATCATAATTCTAACTTGTTTTTCTACAAAAATAAAAAAATAACATAAACAACTATCTAATGAAAACTTGTATTGAGTTAGTTGCATAAAGAATTTAATATAATTGACAATTTATTTGGCTATAATTCATACAAGTTATCAGATAAGACAATCAAGCATGTGGTCACACAAAATAGGCATATTAAAACATGAACGATATCAAAGTATATCATAGTGCATATTGATAATTCATACAAGTTATCAGATAAGACAATTAAGCATGTGGTCACAAAAAATAGGCATATCGATGCATAGTTTTGTAAATTAGTAATTGTTGCTTGTTTACTTTATTCAATTAGTGATTTTTATTACTTTTGTATTTAAGTTTCTTGTTGTAACAATTATTTTATGTTTATAGCTAAAATACATTTGATTAAGTTTTTCTCCCTTTTACCTTTTGTCTTGTGTTATTTTTGTTTGATTGTATGATTGTTTTGGTAATCAATTCTATGACTATTTCTATTTGATCCTAAAATCATTCAATATGTTTTTGTGTGTGTGTCAATAAATGTTCTATATTTACAATAGTTTGTAATGGCTTGTGCACCCATAGACAATTGAATCAAGTCCTACATATAAGAAAGATCATCTGCTTTGTCATTGGCTTTCGTCCCTTATAACTCAACCTTAAAAAACATTAATAAGATATATTTAATTCAAAAGAATAAGAAAATCTTAAAACATGAGTAACAAAGTATAATAGGAGACAAAGGAAAAGGTAGAATGTATATAATTATTTTTTCTTTTCCTTAACATGTGTATTTCTTTCCCACTACTTTCTAAGTAAAACGAAATAGCATATCTCATTATATTACATTAATTTATGTATAATTCAATATCTAATTTATTTCAATAGAAAACTTAGGTACAGTTCTTTAGATATGATTAGTATTGTTCTCCAATCAAAATTGGGGTTTTACCTTGCTAATATACGTAAATGTATATTAATGAGATCTACATTAAATGCAAGTGCATATTATTGAGATAAAACTCCAATTTTGATTGAAGAACAACATCAATCTTACTTAAGGAACTATACCTAAGTTTTATCCTTTGTTTTGTCTCAAAATTTAAGACTAGAAAGATGATAATTTGTCAATTGAATCACCTTTTCTATAGAATAATTTTTTAATGTAATTTTTTTCTAGATTACAATTTTTCAATCAACTGTGGTGGTCCTGAAATTTTATATTCAAATGGAGTTGTCTATGAAAGTGATAATGAGAAACTTGGTCCAGCTACATATTTTGTGACAAAAACGCAGAGGTGGGCAGTTAGTAATGTGGGGTACTTTACTGGAAGTAGCGGTTTGAGTATGTATACAAGTTATGTTCCAAATAAATTCGTTGGCACTTTAGATTCCAACATGTTCCAAACAGCACGACTATCTGCTTCATCATTGAGATACTATGGCCTGGGACTTGAAAATGGTAATTACAATGTGACGCTTCAGTTTGCTGAAAGTAAGATTCTGGATTCTTCCTCATGGAAAAGCACTGGGAGGCGAATCTTTGATGTTTACATCCAGGTGAATATTGTACTTCTTAGAAGATACTATAATATTTATTTATCTTCTAAAATAATAAAATTATGTATAACTTGATCGGTTGGTGTAGTGGTTAGGAAGCTTGCATGTGCTCCACATTGTAGGGACAATCTATTTAGCAAGAAGTTCATGTTTGATCTCCATCTTGTGAAAAAAAGTGTCGACCAACAAAAATAATAGTATCACAAGTGAAATTAGACTTTAGCCTAGTGGCCAGCTAGAGAATACATATAACAAGATAAAAAAAATGTGAAGGAAAGCCTTAGAACAATAGTAAGATTCTTTGTTCACTCCCCAAAATCCATTAGGTGAGTCTTGAGTCACTTTTTTTTAACTAAATAAAATACTACCAAGATGATCCAATGCTAGATTACATATATACAATGCAAGTTCTTATATTTACGTAAGACAAAAGTAATTTAAAAAGAGATAGTGGTTCATGAATTATGACAAGCAAAGAGATAAGTTAGTAAATCTATTAAATCCACTTGAAAACTAAAATTAAAGAGATTAAGTTGAAGTAATTGGAAGCTTGGCCACAATTTTTTCTTATGCTTAATTATAATGCTAAGCTAAATTTCCAAATAAATTGACTTTTTCTTATAATAACTTTCCCCACTTTTGAGTTAGTATTAAACTTAGGCATATTGTATGAATTAGTTTATCTCATCAAAATATGAAATTAGAAAATCATAAAAATGGCTAATAATATTAATTTTTAGGATAAATTATGATTTTCACAACAGGATAAAGCTCTTAAATTTCCTACAACAATATTTTTTTTTCTTAGGGTATACTTAATCCATTTTTTTGTCATTTAGAGGGCAATGGTTTGTCTATAAACATAATTTGCAATATATAAATAATATGGTATTGTTTAATCTATATAGTTGATCGAACCTAGTGAGGAAACTTAGAAAAAGACAAATTCTATTTTATTCTTAGTCTGATGTTTTTGTGTTACTCTCAGGGGAATCTTGTTTTAAAGGATTTTGATATACAAAAGGAAGCTGGTAAGGTTTCTTTCAAAGCTGTCCCAATGGAATTTAAAGCTCAAGTAGTGGAAAACTACCTTGAGATCCACCTTTTTTGGGCTGGAAAAGGGACTTGTTGTATACCTGATGAATACACTTATGGACCATTAATTTCAGCCATCAGTGCAACCCCAGGTTAGATTTGGATGAAAAGTTAGTATATAGTATATACAACCTCAAATTGTTTTATAATGTAGTTTGTGTTTATCTTTTATGTAGATTTCACTCCCTCGGTTAGTAACAAGCTTCCAACCGATAACAAGAAAAATACTCATGTGATAATCGGAGTACCTATAGGGATTGGAGTTTTAAGCGTTATTCTTTCTATTTTTGTGGCTTGTTTCATTATTCGAGGAAGACAACATCATGCTAAGAAAAATGAAGGTAAATGTAATTACAAACATATTTAAATATGAAACTCATTCATTACAATGAATCCATGGATGTTTTGAATTTTGTTCTCTAACCAACATGAGGTTGTGTAGCTATTATTTCATAAACTATTTTTTCCTTGAATTTCATTAAACTAATACAATATTGAGTTGGGGAATGGAACTCCAAATGAAACATACTCTAGCTAAGGCAAGTATGCCCGCATTTAATGTAAGAAAAGTTTGGTAGAGTGTATTTGGTAACTTCCAACATAAATCAAGTTTATCCATGGAAAATGGCATTAATGTTACCAATTTTTATTTTTTGATATTTTTTATGGATAAAATGTATAATTGGAAGAATATCAAGAAATTTAGGGTCTTATAAAACATATGAATATTGTTTAAACTTCTAATTTATACATCAATGATTAAAAAGTTAACACTTATTTATGTTTAATTTTTAGAGTTGTTATGTATAGAAGCTAGACCATACACTTTCAGTTACTCTGAGTTGAAGAATGCCACAAATGACTTTGATTCTACTAATAAGATTGGAGAAGGTGGATTTGGACCTGTTTATAAGGTAATTTTACAAAAAAGTTAAAGTTGTATGGGATTTTTCCCATTATTTTAACTTTGTTTTTGTCATATATAAGATTACTAAAATTTTCATTAGTTTTGGTTAGAGTTGGAAATAGGCCAAATGGTCTATAAGGAACCTGTGACCTAGCCTAGCTTGACCTATTTATTAAAAAGGCTAAGCTTAAACTTTTTAGAAGTATTTTTTAACTGAAAAGCCAAGCTTTAGACTTTTTAAAGCATAATAGTATCCTCAATAGGTTGTCCTATTTAACATATAAAACCAATATCATGTATTATATGTTAATTTATAATTAATATTTTAATTTAATATAATTGTTATTAATAATAAACTTAAACTTAAGTCTATAGATCAATTTATAAGTCTTGTACCACATAATTAGGGATTTAGGTTAGGTTAGACTCTTATATAGGTCAGATCTAACCTTAAAATTAGGCATGCAAAAAAGAAATAAGCTAAGCTCTAACTTAGTAACATAGTTGTATGTTAGGCTTAGACTCGTCAAAGTCTAGCTTGGTTTGGTTTCACCCCTAGCACGCCTTACATACCTTACTCTTTCTAGATGACCATGAGTCATTAATTAGCATGAAGTTAGAACTTTATTTTTATTACGTATAGTGATTTTCAATTTTCTAACAAAGTGTGAAAATGCATGTATACACATTTATTTTGTGAAAATTTGATTCCTGAGCAATTTAGCACTATAATTAAGATTTTGTACTTTAGTGCATTTATTATTTGATTCGTTTTTAGTTGGTTTCTAAAATAATTTAATTTTGTCACTTTGACCTCAAAATGAATTTAGAACATGAATAACCTTTGAGAAGTATTAAATTTTATTTTTATTGTTTTCTATAATAAAATGAAAATAATACGTATCAAGTTATAAAATGATGAATTTATGAATTTTTTTTTGTTTCTTTTGTTTTGTACAGTCTAAAATTGATATTTGTAATATGAAATATTTATTTTTGAAACCTTAGGTTAGTTGCCAAAATGACAAGATCGTGAGACTATGAACTCCGACAATTTAATTGTGGCGTGGGAATTTATTTCTTGTTTATATGTGTGTGTGTATATATATATGTATATATATATATATATATATATAACCATGTTGGTCCAATAATTTTGCCTAAGTTGCTTTTTCTTTCCATTAATCATTTTGCATTGTGCAATCAATAGGGAACACTTACTGATGGAAGGGTTGTGGCTATTAAGCAACTATCTAAATGTTCTCGCCAAGGAAACTCAGAGTTCATAACTGAGATTGCTACTATTTCAGCAGTGCAACATCGTAACCTCATTAAGTTACATGGATGTTGTATTGAGAATGATGAACGACTTCTTGTTTATGAGTATTTAGAAAATGGAAGTCTTAATCAACTATTATTTGGTAAGGGCATGCATAATGCATTTGTGTTTATACATGAGTTAACATGCCCATTAAATTTAGGATTGATTCCTATTTGGATTATTGTGTGAATTAGGAAAAATAAGTTCACTTCTAAATTGGCCAACACGATTTGGTATTTGTAAGGGAATTGCACAAGGCCTAGCTTATCTCCATGAAGAATCAGAACTACGTATAATACATCGTGATGTGAAGACTAGTAATATTCTTCTAAACCATCAATTTGTCCCAAAGATATCAGATTTTGGTTTAGCTAAGTTATTTGATCAGGAAAAAACCCACTTAAGTACTAAGCTTGCTGGGACAATGTAAGTATTAATGTTTTCTATATTCCATTTTTGTTTAATATTTACCATTTTATTAGAAAATTATGCCTATGTCCATTGCATTTCCCTTTGTTATTTTTAGAATTATTTTTACATATGATTAGTGGTTAAAAATAAGAAAGGTAGGCATAATTTTTTAAAATCAACGTGTCACTACTAGAAATGTAACATACGGTGACAAATAAAAAGTGTCACTAGATATATTATATGTAGGCATAAATCTATTTGACATATACATACGCACAATTTTAGTGTTGATTTTAAATGTGATTCAATAATATATATTTTGTATCTCTATAACCTATACCTACACTTTTCACTACATGGAACTTTTTTTGTAGTGTGTAAACATATAACTACGAGATATAAAGTAAGAAAAATAGGTAGTAACAATTATGAGCATATCAACTCAATTAAACTTGGCCAAGCCTATCCTTACAACAAAAGAAAAATGGGTTAAATTTATAGGTTTTGTCGTGAGGTGTGACATTCACTGACTAAACATTATTTTAATATAGAATGTTAGACTTGTTTAAAATTAATTTAGGTTGAGTATTGACTTTAATAATACATGACTTAACTCAACTATATAATGAAACTAAAAATAATAACAAAAATGCTAACAAGTGTCCTTAGGACATTAGTTAAAGAATCATAAGTAAAAAGGTTTTGTTGAAAAAATGTATTTGTACATTCTTTCATATAACTTTATTTAGTATTCAATGAAAACTTTCTATATACTTAACCAATGCTCATAGGACATTGGTTAGCAAGACCAAAAAACTAATGATGAACATACTATTTAGTATTAAAAAAATAAGAAAATAAAATATTTAATGCAATTAAGTGGATGCAATTCAAAATATAATTCCAAATTTTGAGAAGACTTGATCTTTTTCAATTTTTATTATTTTGAGTCAATTTTTGTGTCTATTCGAAAAAAGGATGTAGCTTTAATTTTATTTTATTGATGTATTAATAATTTAGATGAGTTTATTGAAATGTAACTATAATTAGCACTAAAGTGTTTTGGCTGTTGAGTTGCACTCGTAATATTCCTATGTTATTCGTAAATTGAAATCAAGTTTAAAACTTATTATGATGAAGGGGATATTTGGCACCAGAATATGCTTGGCGTGGACACCTCACAGAGAAAGCAGATGTATTTTCTTTTGGTATTGTAGCTCTAGAGATTGTCAGTGGAAAGTCAAATCTGAATTCTATCTTTGACAACGAAGAAAAAAAGATGTTTCTTCTAGAATGGGTATGTAACTAAGCCTATAGTCATTAATTTTAAAAATAATAATTTAATATTTGGGTATTAATTGTAATCATGATCATGTAGAGTTATTAATGTAAAATGATAACATTGCATCATGTGATATGATTTGCAATTTTAATCCTTGTTTGACCTTAAGTAATTAATTGTTCTTGAAATCAAGTTTTCTGTGTTTTCAAGCTAGAATGTTACATTTTTGAACAATTCCACATTTTTGTATCCTTTTGCATTGACAAATTATGGTTATATTTTATTTAATTCTAGACAAGTTATATATAATGTTTCAATTTGTTATATATTTATAAGTTGTAGTAGTTTTAATTTTAGAAGGATATGAGGTGAATCTATCCAAGCATTGGCATTGACATCTCTTAAATTTGTATTCCTTTATACCTTTCGATATAAGTTGATTCTATATCCTTGATGATATTCATACAAACTTACTTTCCACACATAATTATGAATTTTCAATTCATACATGTGTAATTAATTAAACAATGAGGCATTTTGTTTTTGTGTTTCCTTCCCTTTATTACTTTTGAGTTTTGCACTTAAGAGATTTTCTTGACTTAAATCTTTGGTTTCTCAGGCTTGGAACCTCTACATAAACAATAATGAAATTGAAATGGTGGATTCTAGATTGCAAGAGTTTGATGAAATAGAAGTGAAACGTGTTGTTGGAATTTCTTTATTGTGCATACAAGCCTCACCTTTTATACGACCATCCATGTCCCGCATAGTAGCAATGCTTTCAGGTGATGTTGAAGTGACTCGTCTAACAATGATGCCTGAGTACTTGACTTATGTAAACTTTGATGAGGGAACTAACTCGATGAATACAATAAATGGATCATATGTGAGTCACCACACTTCAACAAACACTAGCATTAAGGAAGCTGTGAATTATTAAACGTTGGGTTTTTTCAACTTTTAGAGTTTAGGGTTTTGCTTCTTTCTTCTATATTTTGTGTGATTTCTGTGTTTAGTCCTACAACCTAATGGATGTGCTTGATGCGCATTAAGGTATAGGACAAGTAGAACATCAAACAACAAATGTTTGAGTTATTGGACAACTTTTTTATTTTGTACATTGTTTGGTGAATAATGGACAACACAAATAAAATAATAATAAATTATTTACAAATTATTTTTTTATATTACTTATCTTAATAAATTATTATTATCTTAATGATAATGATAGAAAGAATTGTGATGACAATAATAACATTGATATTGGTGCTAGTGATGGTGATGAAAGCAATAACAATGATAATAAGAATAGGGCGGTGGTGGGGGTTGAGGTTGCACTAGTGGTTGACACAACGGTAGTAGATGGCAACAATGGTAGTATTAATACAATAACATGGTATGAGTATTTTTTTACTTGGGATAAAATGTTGTCTCACGGCTAAGTAGCAAAAAATAGGACTTTGGTCATGTCCTCCATTTTTTGCCATGTCTTATGACTTTTTTTATAAATCAAATGTAAAACAACTATATTTGTCTTGTTTGGTACCATTATTTTTCTAACAAATACTAAGTCACTAATAATTTGTCACAATTGTGCTTCATCATCATAATGTTAATGCACTTCTTGTGTTGTTGAACTCTTATAATTAATTAGAATGAATATCATGTCCTACCTTCACAATTGAAGGTTGTATGTCCTACCTCTACTTAAGTTAAAAAACAATTTTGTCATTCATTATTACCCATAAAAACTTTGGCATTTCACTTATATAGCAAAGTATTACTTGAATATAAACTTAATGTTCATGGTAACTTGCCTACCATTTGCCAAAGTACATAAACATGTATCAATTATCATATCCATTTTTAATCCATAACATTGACTATGCCCAATGTAAAATTCAACTATACTTACAAAGTATAGAAGCATATATAAGACATCATCATGTACAATACACAAATAATTCACAAGGCAATTACAAAAACGTATGTAAGTCAATTTCATCATGTACAATACACAATTAATTCACAAGGACACTGACCATGCCTAGTTTAAAATTCTAATTTTGTTAATTTTTCTACCTTTCTTTCATTTTTTAATTATATATTAACTATGAATAATCATCTTTTGATTGACAAAGCTTATATGAAAAAGAAAATATTAATAACATATTATTTACTATTGGATATTATATATAGTTCTTATTCAATAAAAAATAAACTCAAATTAAACAATAAAATAATATATAATTAAGTTAGCTACATTCTTTTATTAAGTTCAATGACATTCTATTATATCAGTACTTTAAGTTTGTGTATTACACATGATAAATGTTTAATATATACAATTAAAATTTATAATATATTATATATGTAAATAAATACAATATTTAAATATATAAATTATATTTTGAATTTATGATAAATAGTTATATTGTGACCCTGAAAAATTTGATTGTTGAAAAATTATTTTTAAAATATTAAAATTTAATTAAGAAATTAATATGATCAATATATTTTTTTTAAAAAAATAAAAGGTTAGGAGTGCAAAGCATCATTATAGGACTTAGACATTCCAACAACGTTAACACTCCTAAGCTTACCAATCATATATATATATAGCATGCCCAATAAAATTAAAAATGAAAAAAATAATAAAGATCAAGGACTGGACCAAAACCCATGACAAGTCAACAATTACAAAACAAAGGCAATCCACAACAATTATCATAAAAGTGCTCACTAATAAAATTGGAAAGTAGATACCACCAAACAAAATTAAGTTTATGCTTAATCCCATAAGACACCAATTTGTTAGCACAAATATTACCATCCCTATAAACGTGAGATGAAAAGAACCACATATATGAACATAACTAAAGACAATGTTTCCATCTGTTGCGTATAGTCCAAGGAATAATTTGAACATTCCTAAAAGCTACCAAAACAAGTTGCGAGTCACATTCCAACCGAAAGTTATGCCACCCAACGTCATATGCATATTCGGTCACCAATATAACCACTGCCAATTCAACGTGTAGTGCATCCTTAGTACCAAGAAAAGCTACAAACCCCCAAGAAAAGCTCCACTGTGATCTTGAAAAAGACCATCACTTGCAGCTAGGTTAGGAGATCCTCTAGCACCACCATCCAAATTACACTTCACAAACCCACAAGCTAGAGAGTGTCAATCAACTTGTTTTACTATGGGAGGTTTAGGAGGCCAAATAGTGACTAAAAATTGTTTCATTATGGAGGTTATTAACCAAGCTCAAGATGAAGACTTGTCACATTTAGTTTTGATGATTACAAATATAATCCTCTTGAGTGATAAGAGTGCAAATTGTATCTTGTTATGTGTTTATGCTTTATTGCATGTGTACTTTGTGCTTTATAGGTAACTTAGCTTTAAATATCTATCTAGATGATATTTGATGATGAAAAGAATATTTAAAAATGATTTGAAAAGAGGATTAGTATGAAAAATTGAGATATTAAGTTTTCACTTAAAATAATTGATTATCTTAAGTAATAATCGATTATTTGCTCTGTTTTTTTATAACCTGAGAAATTTTGTTGTAATAATCGATTATTCAACAAAATAATCGATTATTTCATAAACAACTTCCTGGAATAATCGATTATCATTCAACATAACTGATTAAATTGTTCTTGGTTTATTTCCATATTTGCAAAGAACAAAATAATCGATTATTTCTATCAGAAAACTCTATATATCATTTTTCATGTTCAAAAACTCAGAGAACAAGAACCTTTGTGATATTACTTTTGAAAATTCTCTCTAAAAAATGTTTCTCTTTGTAAGAAGAGATTTAATAACCTTTGTGAGAGCCTCAAGAAAGGATTCAAGAATTGAATTGATCATCATCATCTTCATTGGAAATATAGGCTAAGCTACATTGGTTTGAGTCATCTATATGTTGAAATGTTTTGTACATCAAGTGAATTCTTTCTTTAATCTTTGTAACTAGTTTTCTTAAGTAGATTTCTTAGGAAAAGAGAAGCTTGTAGTGGGGTGCTATAAGATAGTGTTTCTTGGGGTGCAAGAAGTGGTTTCTTTAATTGTGTAGAAATGTATTGCATGTGATATTGTGATTGTAAAACTTATAACATTAAAGGTTAGTGAAAAAATCTCAGTCAAGTTGATTGGAGACTAGATGTAGGTCTCAAGTGGATGTGGTTGAACCATTATAAATGTGTTGTGCATTTTTTCTTATCCCTACATTTATCTTTACATTTTTGCAAATATGATTATATGCTTAATAATGTATGACATAAAACATGAACACTACATATAGCTAGGACTAATTGAATATGACATTGCATGTATAAAATAATCTCAATAGCATATCCTATATACAACTATATATCAATATATTTCATTGAAAAGTCTTAGAAAAGTTTTTAAATCAAGAAGATTTAGAAAGAAATTTTTAGTATCCAATTTACCCCTTTCTTCTCTTGGATAAGCCATATTTTCTAACACAGACATCATTCAAAGAATGTGAAATATGATATTTTATAAATGAGCTAGATAATGTCACCGTAGAGATTATCATTGAAATAGATTCTTGGAAGTTGAAATCTCTATTTCTAATGAGAACACATTTTATTTTAAGCCGAATCAACCAAATAACATTCATCAATACAACTAGTTATACCCCTCTAACTTGGGTACTCCAATTCCTATCTAGAAAACCCAACAAACCTTGTGTAGTTGCTAAATCAATAGGTTGTTGAATAATATTTTGGAACCACAACCATAAAACTTGAGCAAAAAGACACTAGAGAAACAGATGATCTGAAGATTCGACAACAACTTTACAAATACTGCACATTGACACTATCATCACACCTCTAGCACTCATGTTTTCATCCGTGGGCATTTTTTGGTGCAATAATCTCCACAAAATGCTAGAGCGCATAGGATGAAAGAAACGACTCCATACAACCTTAGCCCAAGAACAAGGTTGTGATGTATTCTTAATATGCAAAAGAGTCATTTTGAATGTAAGCTCACCATTAGTTGCTGGTCGCTAAACCGGTTGATCAGACTTTAGACCCCCAGGAATATTAGCACGTGAAAGTGTGACATGCAAGCTAGGTAATTGTCATAGCAACAATTCAGGGACTCTTCAAGATTCGTTCTCAACAAAACAACCAATGTTGGCATGAAGCTTACGTTGTATTTTTGTTGAAAGACCAAGAATATCTGCTATCGGATCATCAAAACATCAAGCATCATTTTAGAAGTTGATATTCCTGCCATCCTCAATCAACCATCCCATATTAACCTGTATATCATGTAATTAATGTTAAATAGAAGGCCAAATAGATGATGACCTGTAACCCACCATAGGCACTTCGTTTCTTAATAAACACATACTCATAAGTGTTGCCCATTGCTCGTCTGAATGCTGAAAATTCCAAGCTAGCTTCAATGTTGCCACCTTCACTATAAGGTCTGCAAACTTTTTTTTTCTAAGAAACTATAATAATCTTGGATGAAGTTGAATCACCTAACCATATAAAGTTCCTTAAAAGCCTTTCCACCTATTGCACTATCGCTTTAGGCCAGGAGTAAATATGAAAACTGTACCAAAGTATCCCGAGACGACCGCATTAACAAGCTTAACTTGACCCATCAAAGAAAGTAAAGCACCCTTCCAAAAGGCTAGTTTTGCCCTTAATTTTGTCCAACATTCCTTGCCTATGCATTACACTAGGTTTTCCTTTGAATATAAAAAAACATAAATAAGTGAATGGTGCCCAATCAGCCAAAAAACCCAGGAGAACCTATATCTGAGCAACTTTAGCCGAAGACATTGTACCAGAGTAAAATCTGCATTTCTTTTGATTAATAAGTTGGCTCGAAGCTTCACCATATTGCTAAAGTGAAGACATTAATACATTTGAATTAGTTGTATTCTCCCTACAAAACACCAAGATATCATTTGCATAAAAAGCATGAGACGATGTATGAAATCCATGGGGACTAGCCATGGGCAGTAACAACCCCTGATCAACTAATAAAGATATCTCATAACTAAGTATATCTTCAGCAAGGCAAAATAACAAAGGAGATGTTAGGTACAGCTGCGTACAGCTGCCACCACCTTTCTTTTTGTAAAAAAATGATATTTTTAAATTATTTTTTTAT